CAAGGGCTCAAGTAGAAAGCAAATGTTTTGAGAATGATGAGGGCAACAAATGTACAAATGTGCTTGACACAGTGGATGGATGTATGGATTGTCGTAAGAGTTGTATGAGCCCCAAATAAAAGGCTTAAATAATAATTTAAAAAAAGAGAGCATGCTGCTCTCCTAGGGGTCAAGGTGGGGAGTGGGGGGCAGTGCAGCTGTTGGGAGAGACAAGGTCACCTAGCTGGGGAGATGGGGGAGGGAGGGAGCCATGACCCTGAGCAGTAGGAGAGCTGGCTCCCACTCTGAATTCCTTCTAGGCTCCCATGGTGCTCCCTGACACAGCCCATGTCCTCCTGCACCTTTCCTGCCTGGAGACACAGCATAAGTGGGGGTGGGAGGAAATGGGAGGGACGGAGGAGAAGGGGGAGGGATGAAGGAAGGAGAAGATGAGAGATCAGGTGGGCTGAAGGAGGAAGGGTAGAGGGAAGGGAGACAGCAGGGTGAGGAAAGGCCATGACAGGGAGGGCAGGCATGTCCCTGGTGGCTGTCTAATCCAGCAGACCCAGGGTCAGGAACATCCAGGAGTGACCTGCTCATATCGGGTTGCAAAATGATTCCTTCACTCAGCTGTGCCATGGTGCCCAAGCCTACAGTGACACACACGGGGATCACAATGGGTCGGAGCTGAATCAGCGGCCACTGGGGATGGCAAAAGGGAGTGGGGGGGGGGGGGGGGCAATTGACCAGGATCTGGGTTATAAAACAAAAAACAAAGCAGGAGTCTGCCTTCCCGGGGCATCTGAGCTGGATGGGCAACAACAAGCTCTGGCAAAGCAGCCTCAGACACCAGCAGTCCCTGCCCAGAGTCCCACGTACCCTGGGCAGCAGCTCTGCAGGAACCTCAGACGGGGCAAACAAGCCCACCCTCATCCTTCCAGGAACCCGCTTGCACCTGAACCCCACAGCTGGCCCCATCCCCAGGGTCTGTTCATCCAGTGGCATGGCAGTGGGTCTGAGACACATGGGTCTGCACCCTCAGCATGAAGGGCCACTGCTCAAAAGTAGGCCCGGTCCCAGATTCCACTGCGGGGTCTTCAACAAACTTAAACTTGCCCAGTAACTCGGAGGGCCTGAATTCGAGGCCAGTGAAGAGCTGACTTTGTCGCACAGAGCACTGATCCCGTGACTTTGCTGAGGGTGTCTCTCCCCTGCCTCCCATAGCAGACACCGGTCCCGCGCAGGCCCTGTGGCCCAGCTGATGGAGCCTTTCTGCAGGCCGAGAGGGAGCGCCTCTGCCAGCTGCCGCAGAGCAGGGGCTTATCTTGAGCAGTTCCCAGCCACACTGGTCACACCGAATGTCCGTGTGCTAGATAAGCAGTTGGGAGAGGCCAGAATTTGGAGTCTTTTAAAGGATATGATTATCTGCCTTTGAAGCGCTGGCCAGCGATTGGCAGGTGGCTGGAAGGGCCCTGAAGAGGTCTGGTTCCTAGGTTGCAGGCGGCCCACCCTCAGGGCTGTGGTCATATTTCTAATCTTTCCAGATGCCAGGGCCCAGCCAGGAGCACACCGGGGAGACAAAAGACAAGTGGGGGATGCAGTGCCCAGGTGAAGGCCAGCCGAAGCTCCCTGTGCTGCCCCACCAGGTGCACCGGCCTACCCGGACAACCCGTTCTCCTGGCCTGCACTCTTTCCTGAGGGCTGTCATCAGGAGGGAGGTGATTCTAATAGCAGTGACCCTGGCTCAGGAGCCACCTCAGCTGTCCCCCAGGGTGGGGATGGAGTAGGCGTTCTCCTGTCTCTGTAGCTTCTGTGGGGCAACTACACGAGGAGTTTCCAATGAGATGCTCCTATCTTTCTTCATCACCTGCAGCAACGTTCTCATTGGGGGCGTTTCCCAGCTGCCAGCACACTTTGACTGTGGCTGCAGGCCCAAAGGGTCATCCTGGCAAGGCGATTAAGCCCAGCTGCAGAAGAAATGCACTATCCCCAGGCCAGGCTGCTGCCCAGGCACATAGCTGCACTGGCCATATCTGGTTTTCAGTCCCTGAGTGCAAGGGCGGTGACTCTACGCTCTTGCATGGCCAGGGGGCAAACAAAAGCCACACAATAGCAGCTCAGGTCAGGAATCAGGGAGCCCTGGTGGGAAAGTGATTACACATGGTGGTTACTTGTTGGGCTGTTTGAAACCACCAACTGCTTGGAGGAAGAAAGACGAGACTTTCTATTTCCATAAAGCGTTACACGCGGAAACCCATCAGGGCAGTTCTACCCTGTCCTATGGGGTCACTATGAGTCGGAATTGACTGAATGGCAGTGAGTTTCTGTGGGAAACTGAGGAACAGGAAGAGAGTGTATGCGGACAAATTCTTTATTCTCATATTTAAGAAGCCTGGGAGACAGGGTTCTGGGTGGAGGGAAGCTTTTACACTTGTGAGTTAGAGATTAGTCTAATCACATTCTCATAATTATGATTATTCCCCACAGTATCCTATCATAATAGTGCTACCTTAAAGTTACCTCCTACAAGCACATGGCTGATCGCTATCTGGCCGGCAGCTTTAAGTATAGGAGCAGACATGTTGCAATTGCTCTCCTGCTCAGGGGACAGTCACTTCCCCCTACCTGTCCCCGGCACTGGTGTCAGGTCACTCCTCCACTGAACTCAGGGACCTCTAGGATTAGGGTACAGGCCACTTTGATAAGTACACGTAGGTGATTACCTGTGGCCCGAGACTGTATAAATTGATGTGAAGAATACATTTTCTCTCTGTCCTGCTTGGACCTGGTTCCTGATGGCACAGAGGAGGTGAGCACCCCAAAACTTTCGTCTGTTTCTTAATTTCTTCCCTTCCATTACACAACCGTACCCTAGGACCCACCCAGATGTGGGGCTGGATCCCACAAATTTGGGGCTTTTGGAGGTCGGGCTCAGCAAGGCCTTCGCAGGCTTATGTGTGAAGTCAGCTCTCACCACTGGCTCCCACCACAGCTACCACTTCGAAAACATGCTCCCTCCCCCCCACCACTCACACTCCCTGTCATATCATCCAGGGCCAGGACTGACCACGCTTAAGTCCTCCTAAGTGGCCCAGTCTGTATCCAACTCTTCCCGTGGGACCCTGATAGCACCTTGGACAGTTATGTGCTACTGTCATGGTTCCACAAATGTTCAAGGTGCCTGAGTGGCACTCTGGGTTAAGCATTGGGCTGCTAACCTACAGGTGGTTCAAACCCACCAGGCTCTCAGAGGAGCAAGGTAAGGCTGTCTGCCCTGCATGTAAAGACTGACAGTGCACCGCGGTTCTACTGCAATCTATATTGTCTCTGTATGTCTCATTAAAGCAGTGTTACCGATCTTGGGTGGTGCCGTGGTGTAGTTATGTACGGGGCTGCTAATTACAAAGAAGTGGCTTGAATCCATTCTGTGGGAATAAAACGGGGGCCTATGCTCCCTTAAATATTTACAGCCTTGGAACCTTATGGGGTAATTCTGGGACGGACTGGATGGAGTGGGTTTGGGGTGGACGCGGTGGACGTAGGGCTCCTCCAGCGCATCGCCGCATCTCCCCTCCCCTCCCCCACCCCCATCCCTGCCCCTCGGCCCTGCTGCAGTGGGCGCGCAGGCCCCGTGCACCTCCACCGCGTCTCTCATTCATTCCCAGGCTGCGCAATAAGCCTCCAATAGGCTGCTGCCGGGGGCTTGGGGACTCGGGGACTCGGGAGCTCGGGAGAGCTCAGGTCCAGCCGGTGGTCGGTGGGTGGCGCCAGGGGAGTCATCCTCCCGATCCGCAGGAACATTGCTACGTCTGGCTTCAGCAGCAGGTGCAGCAGGCACGGGTCTCTTCCCACGCAGCCAGGAACCGCGCCTGCCCCACCCCCAGCCTCAGTTTCCCCATCGGCGGTGGGGGCGACTGAAGGACGACTTCCGCTCGGACGTCCCC